ACTTGGCCGCGCGCGCCTCGCGGTTGCTGCGCTTGTGCAGCCGGCGGCCCGTGGGCCGCCCCGAGCGGCCGTCCACGAAGTCCACCACCAGAAAGTCCCTGGAAAGCTGCAGCGCCGCGAAGCCCGTCGCGTTCAGCACGCGCTCCTTCACGCTGAGGCGCCAGCTGGCGCCGTGCGGCGCGTAGAACTTGTACGCCAGCGCCTGGTCCTTCTCCGAGGGCCTGCAGCCCCCCGGGTCCAGCTTGTAGAAGATCCGCTTCCCCGCCCAGCACAGCACGGGGAACAGCTTCCCGCGCAGCAGCCCCAGCCAGCCGCGGCCCGCCGCCCCGCCCATCACCCGCGTCCCGCCGCCGCTCGTGATGAACGCCAGCGTGCTGTTCTTGTCCAGGTCCGTCAGCGACACGTACTCCAGCGCGTGGTCGTGCCCCGATATGTACGCGTCTACTTGGTAGTTCGTCAGCAGGTCCACCAGCCGGTGCTCCGGGCCCCGCGGCCGCCCGTTCTTCACCAGGTCTTCGATGTACGCCACCCGCGCCTCCTCCGCCTCCGGGCCCGTCGACGTCAGCGGGTGGTGGCCCTGCACGATTATCCAGTCCGCCTTCGCCTTCGCGGAGTGGAACAGCGCGTTGCTCAGCGCTATCATGTTGCTCTGGTACCGACTCAGGTTGTCCACTGCACACGCAAGCCACGCTGCCACTCGTCTCATCCACGCACGTCCGCTTCAGATCCACTCAGATGCACCCAGATTCAGCCACATTCACTTCAGATTCCGTCAGATGCACTTCAGATCCAGTTCGATTCCGTCAGATTCAGTCATATGCACTTCAGATCCAGTTAGATTCAGTCAGATTCACTTCAGATTCACTTCGATTCAGTCAGATTCTGTCATATGCACTTCAGATCCAGTTAGATTCAGTCAGATTCACTTCAGATTCACTTCGATTCAGTCAGATTCTGTCAGATTCTGTCAGATTCACTTCTGATCCAGTTAGATTCAGATCCACTTCAGATCCAGTCAGATTCACTTCAGATTCACTTCAGATCCAGTCAGATTCACTTCAGATTCTGTCAGATTCACTTCTGATCCAGTTAGATTCAGATCCACTTCAGATCCAGTCAGATTCACTTCAGATTCACTTCAGATCCAGTCAGATTCACTTCAGATTCAGTCAGATGCACCTCAGATTCAGTCAGATTCACTTCAGAACCAGTCAGATTCAATTCAGATTCAGTCAGATGCACTTCAGATTCAGTCAGATTCAATTCAGATTCAGTCAGATTCAATTCAGATTCAGTCAGATTCAATTCAGATTCAGTCAGATTCAATTCAGATTCAGTCAGATTCAATTCAGATTCAGTCAGATTCAATTCAGATTCAGTCAGATTCAATTCAGATTCAGTCAGATTCAATTCAGATTCAGTCAGATTCAATTCAGGTTCAGTCAGATTCACTTCATATTCAGTCAGATTCACTTCAGATCCAGTTAGATTCACTTCAGATTCAGTCAGATGCACTTCAGATTCAGTCAGATGCACTTCAGATTCAGTCAGATGCACTTCAGATTCACTTCAGATTCAGTCGGATTCAGTCAGATTCATTTCAGATTCACTTCGTGTTCTTATATTGGTGGTGTTTGTGGTGGTGTTTGTGGTGGTGTTTGTGGTGGTGTTTGTGGTGGCATATTAGTGTTATTAGTGGTGCTATTTGTGGTGGTATATTGGTGGTATTTGTGGTGGTGTTTGTGGTGGTATTTGTGGTGGTATTATTGTTGTTGTTGGTGTTGGTGGTGCTGGTGTTAATGTTGTTGGTGTTGTTGTTGTTCGGGGAGTTCTTTGGGGGAGGACACTCCAATTTGCATCCAATTTGCATCCAATTTGCATCCAATTTGCATCCAATTTGCATCCAATTTGCAACAAATTTGCATCCAATTTGGAACCAATTTGCATGAAATCAGCAGAAAATCGAAAGCAAATTGGCGAAGCACATCAGCAACTTGAAGCATCACCAAACCAGCAGTAAATTGACAGCCAATTAGCAGCAAACTGACAGCAAATTGGCAGCAACCCGACACCAAACTAGCAACAAATTAACAACAAACTAACAACAAATTAACAACAAACTAACAACAAATTAACAACAAATTAACAACAAACTAACAGCAAATTAGCAGCAAATTAACAGCAAATTAGCGGTAAATAAGCGCCAAATCATCATCAAATTAGCAGCAAATCAACAGCAAACCAGCAAAGTAAATCGGGAAATTAAATCAGCAGGAAGTCGGCAGCAAATCATCATCAAATCAGCAGCAAATCAGCAGCAAAGAACCATCAAATCAGCAGCAAACCAGCAGCAAATGGTCGACAGGTTAACAGCAAATCAACAGCAAACAGCAGCAAATAAGCGGAGACTCAGCAGCAAATAAGCTGAAACTCAGCAGCAACTTAGTAGCAAATCCGTAAATTAGATCACCACCAAATCATCATCAAAGCAGCAGCAAACTGCAACAGCAGCAAACCACCAAAGCATCATCGAAGCAGCAGCAAACCAGCAACCCAAACCAGCACACCAAGTCCCCATCAACTCTGCCTCAAACCTACATAAAACATGCACCAAATAGGCGACAAAATAAGCAACAAATAGGCGATAGACAAGCAACAAATAGGCAACAAAACATGCCACAAACATGCCACAACATGCCACAACATGCCATAAAATGCCGCCTGGAACGCGCGAACCGGCGCAGCAGCAGCAGCAGCAGCAGCAGCAGCTCACGGAAGGGCGTGCCCCCGAAGAGGGTCCAGGTGTCGATGGAAATGAGGTGGACGGTGAACTCGACGTCCTGGGGGGCCCCCGCGGCAGTGGTGAGGTTTGCTGCGAAGGTCCAGACGGCCTTGTGCAGCCAGCGCGGGTTGTGGAAGTTCGCGTCGCGGCGGCTGTAGTGGAAGCGATAGCAGCTCGAGCTGCTCAGCGCGCCCTCCGCCTCGCCGTTCACCATGTACCACGGAATGTCCAGGCCCCCGTCCTGCAGCAGCAGCAGCAGCAGCAGCAGCAGCAGGTGGGCAGCGGCCGCGGGTGCGGAGCGGCGGCAGCGGGCGACCCAGCAGCAGCGCCACGGCGCCACAGCAGCAGCAGCAGAGCAGCAGCAGCGGAGCAGCAGGAGCAGCAGCAGAGCAGCAGGAGCAGCAGCAGAGGAGCAGCAGCAGCAGCAGAGCAGCAGGAGCAGCAGCAGAGGAGCAGCAGGAGGCGGAAGCTGACTCGGACGAAGATGTCGTGCCACCTGGTCCTGAAGGCCTCGTCGGCCACGGAGAAGGCGCCCGGAGGCTTCAAAAAGTCGCCAAGTCCGAGGGCAACGTCGACGTTGTGTTCCTGGTGGAACTTGCGGAGAGCCTGGACAGTGTCTTCGAGTTCGGTGAGGCGGAGGCCGCGCTTGAGGGCCCCCCAGGGGCCCCGGGGGCCCCCGGGGCCCCCGTAGGCGGCGCCGTTGGTGTTGCCGACGGCGACGACTCTGAGGAAGTTCGAGGAAGTCTTCCTGAACTGCAGCTCCGCAAAAGCCTCGCTGGAAGGCTCCTTGGGGACCTCCTCGCCCTTCTCCGTCTTCTGCTGCTGCTGCCGGTCCAGCGGGTGCTCCGCGCGCTGGGCCCAGACGCTGTCGACGAAGCAGAGAAGCGTGGGGCACTTGGGGGCCCTTTCGCGGGGGGTCTTTTTGCTGCTGAGGGTCTTGAGGAGTTCGGGGGCCCCGGGGGCCCCGGGGGCCCCCGGGATCGCGGGGGGCCCCACCTGGCCGCCGCGGTAGGCCTCCCAGTTGCGGACGAACTCCTCCAGAACGTCCAGCTGCAGAAAGGCCTCCTCGAGGACGCTGGTGGAGAAGAGCAGGTCGAGGAAGTTGGTCTTGAGCAGGAAGTCGCGCGGTGTACGTACACCGCGCAGCAGCAGCTCCTGCTGCAGGTGCGCCACCGCCGCCGTGGGCTCTTCGCGCTGCACCCCGCGGGCCACCCGCAGCACATTGAAGGGGAGGCTGCGCATGAAGCCCAAGTCCTTGTCCGTGAGTCTTTCGGGGACTTGGAAAAAGCCCCTTTTGTGGAAAGTGTTTCCGTCGAAGTACCACTCGCTCTCCCGCTGCTGCTGCCCCA